CCCCAAAACCCCAAAACCCCAAAACCCCAAAACCCCGTAAGGGTATATAACCAATGAAGATCTCGTAATATTAATAAATATGGAAAATCGTAAATATCAAAAGTTTGAAGAAAATCTATCTGAAGATATTCTTAGTGAGGATGCTTGTGCTTGCGAAGTAAAGATTACTGAGAGGCTTTGAATTAACATGGATATGTCTCCTTTTAAAAAATCTATTGCGAACAAGTCTGGTAGGCATCAAATGTCAAAATTTCGAACTCGCACTGATAATTCAAAATATCAGGCTCAGATGGCTTCTACTAATCAAAAAGCCAGAATTCAAAGGACATGAACATTGAAAATGAGTCAAGAGACACTAAAAGAGCTTGATTCAAATACTACTGAAAGGAAAGAGGCTCCAGAACGTAAGAAGTCTTCTATCCAGAGTGAGATCAGTTATCTACTAAAGAAATCTGCCCAGATAAGGCACAAGGAGAGTATTTTAAGTAAAACTAAACAGAAGTCCCAAGAAATATCTCTCAAGGATATTGGAATCTTTTCTGTAGATCCAAAGAAGCCTAACTTTGTGACTTTCGGAGACGAAATTTCGAACATTTAAACCAAATCTTAATTAATTTTCATATTAACATATGCTTTAAGAAAAGAATCTTACTTTTTAATTTTCTAACAGATGAGAGAGCAGGTGTCCTAATCTCTAATGCTTTGGCAGGGCACTAGCTATAGAGGTTCATCAAGCATGTTCTGGGGTTTCAGATCAGAATTCAGCTATTCTGAATGCTTACTTGGTTTATTATTTTTATAAGTTGGACACATTTTGAAATTCCTCTTTAGATGTTCTAAGTTGAAAATAATTTGACTTCATTTTAAGGCTAGTCTAAAACTCTCGGATTGGACTCTTATAAAATTCAATTGTTATACTTACTAAAATGTATCTATCTGACCCCCACATTTTGTACATGTATGCTATTCTTTTGAGTAAGATTGTAACAAAATATTTCAATAACTAAATTTTTCAGACAAGAGGCATCTATCAATACCTTCTAAAAATTTCAAAATTCAAAATTTTAAAGGCTCAAGGTAATTGAGTACCTTCGGGGTCATAATTATACAAAGCATCTAAAAGTCTCCGAATGAGATGCAAGACTTCAAGTTCCTGCAGTGTTTTATTAGATAAAATCTTATTTAGACCACATTTAAAGCAAGTTTTTCTTGCAGTGAACTTGTCTATATTTTACTGAGCTGTAATATTATTGCCTGATAAACTCTTAAACGCTTGATATTTTTCAGAAAAGACGATATTTTCTTAAAAAATCCATTACCCACTGAAAGAGAAAGTCCAGAATTTTCATATCACTTCTTCTTCTACGGTGGTATTTTTCTTTCTTTTAACCAAGGTTAGTAGACGACTCTCCATTCCGACTCATCTACTAAGTTTTAAACATGAGAAATGAAACGATTAGGAATACTGAGCTTCAGAATCGGGTACCGAAATACAAAATGTTTAAAAAATCATGATTATTTTGGTTTATAAGCTCTATAAAGACTGTTACAAATTCAGTGGTATAATTCCTCTGTGATGTCTCTTTCTGCTTGGAAAATAAAGTACTTAACAAGTTCTGGGAATCTGAGTTAAAATTTTACCTTTAAGAGAGAATAATGCTTCTAATTCTTATTATAATAGACGGTAAGGGAGGGTGTCGGACAGCATCTTCTTATTGGATAGATCAAGGATATAAGGTCAGAAATAATTAGAAGTCTGCATATAAGGCTCAAGTAAGGCCAAAAATGAGTTAAAGATAGCAAGTTTTTACCCAATATGATATTTTTTAAGCAATCATTTCTTCTTAGGACTACTCAATATTAAAATAGGTACATGGGGTTTTGGGGTTTTGGGGTTTTGGGGTTTTGGGGTTTTGGGG